CTTTCACGGCCTGGGGTCCACCTGCCAACCTATTCCATCTGGACTTTGGCCACCTGTCCTGTGTACAGTTTTTCCATAAGGATAGTGAGGCATTATGGGATTCCCATTTTCCTACAGACCCTTCACACTTTGATACTATGGACACAAGCTGAAGTTCACAATCATCAAGGCACAAACTGGCTTCCTTTTGGCATTCCTCGGATTTATTTTTTTTAAATCCCACTTTTATTATTTTTTTATAAATAACTCAGAGCTGGGAACATATCTAATACTTCTGCCTCCTCCTATTTTCCCTACAACAACAACTCTGTGAGTTGAGTTGTGCTAAGAGAGAATGACTGGCTCAAAGTCACTTATCTGCTGTGCATAAGTAATAATATTTCTTATTCCTCAGTCATTTCTAAAACCAGGTTAAATATCTGGCTTCTCTTTTTCCTAATATGGACTAATCTGCTGCCTGATCCCAACCACTATTTTGCTAGCACGTAAAATTTAGGATATTGCTGATATTGTTGTTAAGTCTCCTTTCTTTGTCGGTAGCATGTAGATTGGCTTCTTCCAATCCTAGGGGTCCTTGGTGCTCTCTGAGCTTGGTTGTTTTCTTGTGGATGTTTTATTATCCAAACAAGGTAAAGCATCAATGCTAGCACTGACTGGTAACCAGCACTGATAATTTGCAACCAACCTCAGAGAGAACCAAGGACCTTCCGTTTCAACCCTGAGCTACAAAAATTCTCCTTTACTCTTAAAATCTATATACTGTACCATTTCTGGTATAGTTTGGATAGACTCTTTACTGATTCTTCTTCTGCTTCTTGTCATATTTTTGTAGATATTCAATCAGAGTAGAGATGGAAGGTCTAGAAAAAGTGCAGAGAAGAGCAACCAGGATGATTAGAGGACTGGAGGCTCAAACATACGATGAACAGTTACAGAAACTGGGCTTGGCTAGTCTAGTAAAGAGAAGGACCAGGGGAGACATGATAGCTGTTGTGTCCCTGACTAGCTAAGTCTTCAACCTGGTCCGCATTTTGAGCGGGACCCTCTTACTGTTCCCATTGGTTGGTGCCGTTTGACAGCAGACTATATAAGGAGCTGTCAAACGGCATCAACTGGGCAGTTGGGGCTCCGGCTCCAGCCAGCCGGCTGCCAGCCCAGCTGGGCAGCCACGTTAATCTGTTACTGCTTCAAATAAAGAAACGTTATTCTTCAGCTCCTGTGTCTGCCTGGTGTGTCCGTCCGACCAATACAACAATAGCGGTCTTCCAACATTTGAGGGGCTGCCACAGAGAAGAAGGGGTCAAGCTATTTTCCAAAGCACCTGTAGGTCAGACAAGGAATAATGGATGGAAACTGAACAAGGAGAGATTTAACCTGGACATAAGAAGAAACTTTCTGACAGTGAGAACAATCAACCAATGGAACAGCTTGCCCTCGGAAGTTGTGGGAGCATCATCACTTGAGACTTTCAAGAAGAGATTGGACTGCCATTTGTCAGAAATGTTATAGGGTCTCCCGCTTGGGTGGAGGGTGGTGGACTAGATGACCTACAAGGTCCCTTCCAACTCTGATTATCTGTTAGGAACGGACCTTGGCGGTCTTCTAGTCCAGCCCCCTGCTCAAGCTGGAGACCCTATGCCATTTCAGACAAATGGCTGTCCAGTCTCTTCTTTAAAAAAAAACTCCAGCGATGAATCACCTACAACTTCTGAAGGCAAGCTGTTCCACTGGTTAATTGTCCTCACTGTTTGGAAGTTTCTCCTTAATTCCAGGTTGCTTCTCTCCTTGATTAATTTCCATCCTTCAATTCATGTAGCCTTTTGACTTGATAACAACCAGAGTGCTGATCTAACTACTTCTTCTAGTACTAGAGATTCTTCTAAAATGGGAATATCTTCCAAAGTATCTCAGATATCAGTATCTACTGCCCATATGTTCCTTCCATCTTTGTTTCAGTTTGTTTAAGTCATCCAGGTCATGGTGGTTCTGAAGAACTGAAGAAGCTTCTTGGATGAGAAGCAAAAGATTTTCAAGCAAAAACAAGAAGTCCAATTCCCTTTTGAAAAAGCACCTTTGGGATTTTCCTTTGATGGAAATGTTTAAACAAAGGCACCTGCTAGAGTTCTTTGATAGATGCCTTCATTAGTCAGGCTGTTCAACTAGATCAGGGGTCTCCAACTAGATCAGGGGTCTCCAATCTTGGCAACTTTAAGACTTGTGGACTTCAACTTCTGCCATGTTGGCTGAGGAATTCTGGGAGTTGAAGTCCACAAGTCTTAAAGCTGCCAAGGTTGAAGACCTCTGAAGTAGATGATCTCCAAAGTCCCTTCCTACCTCTCTGGTCGCAAGATTCTGTCAAAATATGCAAATGCATATATAATGATGCAGTTTGAAACTATTAATTGATTTTTGGTAGGGATGTTTCTGAATGCAGATCTTTAAACTGTGAATGCTGGTTATTCAGGAAAGTATTTTTCTTATCAGCGATTAAAGTTCATACTATAGTCTTATTCTGTTACCAACCTCAGTGGTCTCAATGGTGCAGTGGTTAGAGTGCTGTACTGCAGGTTACTTCTGCTGACTATCGGCTGCCTGCAATTTGGCAGTTCAAATTCCACCAGGCTCAAGGTTGACTCAGCCTTCCCTCCACCCGAGGTGGGTAAAATGAGGACCCAGAATGTTTGTGGGCAATATGCTGACTCTGTAAAACTGCTTAGAGAGGGCTGTAAAGCACTATAAAGCAGTATATAAATCTAAGTGCTATTGCTATTGCTAACCTCAAAATGTTGGAAACCATGCTATTAGTTTTCAGCAATCACAGTCAGAGGAAATACTTGGAGCCATTAATAAAAAGGGAGGTCCATAAGCAGCCAGAAGGCTGCAGTTGTGTCACCTCATCATAAAACAACACTTGTATGTAGTGTTATACCTCATGCTGAGTTTGAAGTGTGGGCCTATGCCCCTCATCCCATTTGCAGGGATGTAGACTTGAACTTACAAAAGCATGGCCTTTATAAAGTAAATTCTGCACTGTTGTGGGAGCTGTTTAGCAGTATTGTGGCTTCAACACCTACAGTATTTGGGGAAAAGGTATTTTTTTTAAAAAAACATTCCTTTTTTACCAAACTTTTAATGGTCAAATTAATTTCAGTTGCCTTGGTTTTATATTTTGAGATTACATGTATTTATTTTATAACTGTGATTTGTATTGTAGAGGTGGTCCTTGATTTACAGCAGTTCATTTAGTGACAGAAATTTGAGCAGCACTGAAAAAAAGGAACTTGTGACTGTTTTTCACACAGGTCATGTGATCACCTTTTGGGATCTTTTGATGAGCAAAATCAGTGGGGAAGCCAGATTCACTTAACAATCATGTTACTAACTTGACAACTGCAGTGAAATGAGGCAAAACTCACTTAACAAATGTCTCACTTATCAATACTCTTTTGGGGCTCAAATATGGTCGTAAGTCAAGGACTACCTGTATATTTTATCTTATTGTTGTAATTGCCTTCTGATTAGAAAAGCAGGAGATTATCATTACTATCATCATCATCATCAACTTCGTGATCGTCATCTCCTCCCCTTCTCCTCTTCCTCCTCCTCCTCCTGATACCAGTTTGACTGAAAGAGCCATCAATCATACCAAACTACAGTTTTATGAAAATTATAGTAAAAAAAAACACCTCTTTTTGCTGCTATTTCTAATGCTAACTACCCCATACCTTGAAAATATGTAGAATTCCCATAAGCCATGAAGATTTCCCCTTTTCTTTTAGTTTTTTTTCAATCACATAACTTAAAAAGACATTTTTTTTTCAAAACAAAACTTTATTTCTGGTATAATTACAACAATATACACACATCCTTGGAAAAAAAGCTAACAACAGGCCAACTTGTGATTCAAAATGAATGTTCACAATATTTTTCACTTCAGAGGAGAATTTTGAAAGACGCCCTTAATGGTTACACTTTAGGGAAAATGATGGCTTTTGAAATTATACAAAATACATATTTACACAGCAGTACATATAGTTTCCAAGAAGTGCTTTAAAAAGCCATTTTAAAAAAATGCTTATTTACCAAATAACCCCTTTCCTTCATCCTCATCTAGACTTCCAATGTATATTCCTTTCCCCCAGCAGCTCTCCTATTTCCCAAAAGTGATTTTGTCCAACTATTTCAGAGATGTTCTACTTTCCATTTTTAAACTTTAATAGGAAAGGAGATTAGATGATCCACATTTGCATGATCGGAACATTAAAACTGATGGATGATTTAAATCCACAACAAATCACAGACACTGAATTTAGAGAAGAACTGATATCTGATAGAAAACATTTGACTTTGATGATAAATTGCTATACCTCTAGTTATGACTTTCTTTTTACTCTTCTCCTGTTTTTTGCTCTTTTGTTTGTGATGGTCTGGAATTTTAGCAATAGCAATAGCACTTAGACTTATATACTGCTTCACAGTGCTTTATAGCCTTCTCTAAGCAGTTTACAGAGTTCAGCCTATTGTCCCCAACAAACTGAGTCCTCATTGTATCAACCTCGGAAGGATGGAAGGTTGAGTCAACTTTGAGCCACTGAGAATTCAACTGCTGAACTGCAGCCAGAAATCAGCAAAAGTAGCTTGCAGTACTGCATTCTAACCACTGTGCCACCATTGCTCATTCACAAAACAACCACAATTTTTCACATGTCCCTTCTGCCTTTCTCTTCTGCTATGGGCCAGTGTGTTGACTACCATTTTCTTAAGACCAACATGATCCATATCTTTCCATGGCTTTTAAATGAGGGAACATGATGACTTCCCCATAAACCACCCCCGTCTTTCCTCTCCAACGTTTTTCAGTGTAGACTACTGTAACATCCATAATCCTGCCAGAACAGCAGAACTAGGAATAGATGGTTATATCTATCTATTTTACATTCTCTTTTATTCTTTTTTAGCAATAGAATAGCACTTAGACTTATATACTGCTTTATAATGCTTTTACAGCCCTCTCTAAGCAGTTTACAGAGTCAGCATATTGCCCCCCAACAATCTGGGTCCTCATTTTACCCACCTTGGAAGGATAGATGAATCAACCTTGAGTATGGTGAGGTTTGAACTGCCATTTGCAGGCAGGCGGCAGTCAGCAGAAGTAGCCTGCAGTACTGCATTCTACTCACTGTACCACTGTGGCTCATAAGTAGAGTTTTCACTGGAGCATTCACAGGGTGTTTTAAAAAAAACCAAAATGGCGGCCTGTGATTTACTGTAGTAAGGAGGTGGATTCCCAGGAGGGAGAGGGTGCATTTCAAGAAGTAAGACACCACTCAGCCCAGATATTTTGTGTGAGAGAAAGAGTGGGAAGATTATCCCTCTTTAATAGTTCTCAGAGTATATAATGAATACAGATAGTTGAGTCCTCCATCTGATAAGATTCTGTCTATAGATATGGAAACAATAAAGAATGCCCCTTGGAAGAATCACCATGTGTCATTCTTAGTTTTGAGCCTGATATTAAGCTTGGCAGACTCACCACTCTATCATCTATGTCTACAAAATAATCTGTGAATTATTATGGAGAGTCTGCCTTCACCCTCTTTCTCTCACATTTGACATGTAGACTGACTTGCCTCTCCTCTGGAATGTTTCTCTCCCTCCTGGGGATCCACCTCCTCATTACATTCCATCACATGGCCACAACATGCTTCAAGTTCTCCTTTTACATGTGTTGCTTGGGCTGAGAGATAATGGCTGACCCAAAGTCACCAAGTGTCGCTCCATTGATGAATCAGAATTTGAACATGGGTCTCCCCAATCCCAGTCTCTGAATATGCACATATGCAATACTCAGTTAAAGCACTTTTTTTTTTTTAATGAAAAAGACTTTTCACTGGTTCTTTAATTACTAGTTTTAGCCTGTAGCCAGAGCTGATTTTTCAGGATGTTGATTTTTCACCCAGGCCTTTCTTTTATGATGTTTGCCTTTTTAGTGGTTATTGTTCAGATCCAGACTGAATGCCAACCATTTGCTCGTGTCTTCTGGCTTGAAAAGCAAGGAAACCTCTTCCCAAAACGGTGTTTCTTAGAGCAGGGCCCTTTTTACCTCAGCCCGCACGATATAAAGAATGCATCTAAAGTGTGGTATTTAATTGCATTTTCTTAATCCTTACCACTAAGCTAAGCTTTCTAATGCCTTTAAAATACCAAATCTCAGTCTTATCCTAATTAAAGAATCTCAGTTTAATACATATTGCATGACAATTCAATTTGTTGATTGCTTTTCTCTCTTTCTCTCCTTTCCATCCTCCCCCAGCTTCCTTTTCTTTCCCCCGCCCGCCCCCCAGTTAGTGAAATTCCCGTCAAATGTATTAATTCAACATGATGAATCCTGTATTCAACCCACTGGAGTGAATAATTAAAATTAGCTGATAAAACTTTCAGCAGAATTACTTTATGAAATTGCTGAACAGATGTGTCATTTTAATGAAAATCCACAGACAAGCTCCTTCCCCCCTCGGCAGGATAAAAATATTATCCCCATGGCACATACTTAATTTGGTGGTAAATACACTCCGAGCGATTCCTGGAAGGGAAGAAAAAGCAACTTGTCACACTTAGTAACTTGATTTTTCCCCAGCATGCCATAACAGCTATCTACAGTAATTCATAGCGCTCCATTGTTGCTGTAAGTCCCAAAGAGAACTTATTAAAATGCAATAATCTCCTATTTAAACAGAAACAATAACCATTAAATTTCCCGTGGATCCAAAATTGAGCATGAGCCCCATCTGGTAAGAGTGATTAGAAGACTGATGAGGGAATTTAATTTGCAACATTCAAAGACTAAATCGGTGCCGATCGGGTCACCCGGGACTGTAGGAACTGCTTGCTGTCGTCTTGCAAAATCTCGACCTCAACTGAAAATGGGAAGCGGGAGTGAAAATGTTACCCAAGGGCGGAGATTGACAGAACTGTATTTCATTATGGGCTTCCAACAGACTGAGCGAGCGGCGAGAAATTCAGTGTGGCTTATTCGGGTTCCTGCTTTGCTTCTCCTCTCCTCCCCCCCCCCCCCCGCTCTTGTCAAATTTTGCTTCTAGAATGTGGGGTGTAATGAGAGTAGTTCTTTTCCTGCCAAATGAGGTGCATTTACCACCAGTTAATCATCAGAAATGCGGCTACTGTAAATAATTTGATGCTAAATAGACTAGTGTTGTTACCCTCGTATCCCAAAAGAAAGAAAGAAAAGAAAGAAAGAAAGAAAGAAAGAAAGAAAGAAAGAAAGAAAGAAAGAAAGAAAGAAAGAAAGAAAGGAAGGAAGGAAGGAAGGAAGGAAGGAAGGAAGGAAGGAAGGAAGGAAGGAAGGAAAGAAAGAAAGAAAGAAAGAAAGAAAGAAAGAAAGAAAGAAAGAAAGAAAGAAAGAAAGAAAGAAAGAAAGAGGAAGAGATGGAGGGAGGGGGAGAGAGAGAGAAAGGAAGAAAAAGAAAGAAAAAAAGAAAGAAAGAAAGAAAGAAAGAAAGAAAGAAAGAAAGAAAGAAAGAAAGAAAGAAAGAAAGAAAGAAAGAAAGAGGAAAGGAATGTGGAATAGGATAACTCGCCGCAGTCAACTTGCCATAGGACAATATGTTGCAGGACAATTCCACAATTCATTTAATTATTTAAAATAATTTAAAATTATTTTAATTTTGATCATTCACATTTCATTTCGTCCCATCTTTTGCATCCTTTCTTTAATGATTCCATTCCACCATTTTTTCGATATTAGTGTAGGACTTGTCCCACGACAAGTTGTCCCGCGGCGAGTTGGCCATGGCGAGTTGTCTCACAGTGAATTGGCCATAGCAAGTTGGACTCTATGGCAAGGGGCGGGTTTTCCGGACGGCTCCACAATTGATAGGACTTTCGGTTAGGACAGGTAGAAGAAAAGGATGCCGTGCGTTATGGTGGGGGGCCCGGACTTTTGGTCAGCAGAGGAAAAAGGACGCTGCGCTAGAGGAGACTCTATGGTGGGAGAATCAGACTTCCGGTCAGCTCCAGAATTGAAGGGAGGTTTCATTTAGGACCTCCGTGGCTCTTTGAGTGTTTAAGGTTGTCGACCCCTGGTATAGTAAATACCATCCAGTACCAGTACATATTAGTATGCTTACAACTTACAGCCACAACTGGGACCAGAATTTCCATTGCTAAGCAAGGAGGTTGTTAAGTGAGTCATGACTGACTTTATGACTTTTTTGCCATGGTTGTTAAGTGAATCATTCCAGCATGTGGTGCTGGACAGCTAGTAATGCATCCCCACAAGATTGTACCTGCTGATGGTGACAACAGAATCAAACAAGCCACTTGATAGGCTCTGAATGGGGTCCCCAGGCCCGCTGACAAAACCATGTCTTCAAGGCCTTGTGGAAAAGTAATGGGTTGGGGTCAATTCTATCTCTGAAGCAACGATGTCCTTAAAGGGAAGGTGTCACCACAGAGAAGTCCCTTTTCCCAGGTCTCACCAAATGTACTTCCTTGATAGTTGGGATCCACAACTTACCTGCATCATTCAGGTTCTCTCTTGGTTTCATAGATACAAGGATTTTATATTTCTTTTATTTCATTCATTAATTCATTTACTCCCTCTACATGCCAAATTATAATCTTTCATGTGTCATGCTTGTCCCAGAATTCCATCATCACTCCTCATGATTTTGGCCAATGGAAATGTTTGGGTATCACAGTGTTTAGTCATTTAGAGAAGGTGTAGACTAGCGTTGTGGTTAGCTGGCAGCAGGTGCGGATGGCTGAGGAGAGCGAGGACTCAGATGAGGAGCCAGGACCATTAGAGAGTGGACTGCTGCCTTCAGAGATTGTGGGGGCTGGCAGCAGCGATGAGAAGGTTCCCGAGGAGCCTGTGCCAAGTGCGCGTGCGTGCATGGCTGCTCGCAGGAAAGAGCAGCTACAACATCATGGGCGACTCGGGGGTAATGCCCCCTTCTTCAAGAAGATAAAAGCCAGCTGTGAATTGGACGTTCTTTGCAGGAAACAAAGATGTTTTGAAACTCGTGGACATTGCAGTATCTTAGTAGGTATTTGAAGACTCTTGTGTTGTAAAATATTTCTAGGTAACCTTATCTGTTATTCTTGGCAACCTTGCACAGTTTTGGTGAGGCTCATGCTTATCAAAGTTAATTGGTTTGCAGCAACCTTTTAACAGGGGATTCGTAAGAATCATTAAAAGGTTTCTGTTCCCTTTGGTTCGTGTTTGTTTTATTGGAAAAGGGTTGGGTCAGAACAACTAGGAATCACACTTAGTTGCTCTCCTTATGAAGAATAACAGAGTTAGAGATCTTCTCCCTGCTCACGCAGGAAACCCTATAGCATTTCAGACAAATGGTTGTCCAATCTCTTCTTAAAAACCTCCAGTGTTGGAACACCCACAATTTCTGGAGGCAAGTTGTTCCACTGATTAATTGTTCTAACTCTCAGGAAATTTCTCTCTACTTCTAGGTTGCTTCTCTCCTTGATTAGTTTCCACCCATTGCTTCTTGTCCTGCCTTCAGGGGTTTTGGGAGATAGCTTGACTCCCTCTTCTTTGTGGCAACCCCTGAGATATTGGAACACTGCTATCATGTGACCCCTAGTCCTTCTTTTCATTAAACTAGACATGCTCAATTCCTGCAGCCATTCTTCGTTTATGTTTTAGCCTCCAGTCCCCAAATCATCTTTGTTGTTCTTCTCTCTTTCTTTCTAGAGTCTCAACATCTTTTTTTTATATCATGTATTTTATATGTGCTCCACATGCAGCTTTCTCTGCTACCTAGCAAGGACAACACAAATCACTTGGGGGCATTTTTCAATCAATAGGTAACCAGCTTACCTGAAGTCCAATTTTCACACCCCAATGTACTATGCAACCTAGATTGTTTATAGACTGCGATACTTTCCAGGTCAGTATACATTTGCTAACATCTCCCCAACCAGGAAGCCAATGCAGTGTTCTGACATGAAACTCCGGATGTGAGTATTGTACTGTATTTATACTCTGATTGGCTGCCTGCATTATTTTTCATAAAGAAGGAAATGCCCCCAGAT